TTATATATATATATATATATATATAAATGTGTGTGTATAATATATATATATATATATATCAAAGTGACAAGTGCCCCGTGCCCGACAGCTATTCGTTTCTTTCTATGTCTCTCCCTCTCCCATTCCACCTTCCTCTCACGTCTCAACTCAGTGATCAAGAAATGTAGCAAGTAAACTACTTTTCATTTTTCGAAAACTTTATTCTCTTGTTTTGATATATATACATATATATATATATAGTTTCACCTTATGTATGTCTGTATTGTCAAGAAAATTTTATACTTTGGATGTGACAGCCTGTGAAAGATCACCACACATTTTTATTTCTTTGATCAATATTAATTTTGCGAAATTATATATTAATATACGAAACTTATAAAAAAATTTAGATGAAATACGGCTCGAAAATTCTCATATAAATACATAATTTTTTTTATATTATATCCTTTTCTTTTAAAAAATAATTAAATTAAGTTATTAGCTTTTAAATGACTTACAAAAATTGATATGAAACAAAACTCTAAAACCTTTTAATTAAACGGTTTTAAAACTATCATGTCATTATTTTGTTAGGAAAGTTTAAAAGTTTAGATTTTAATTAAGAAATTGAAAAAAAAAAAGACAATGTATTTAATCGAGAATTTTAAAATTCATGTATTTATATAATATCTTTATATTAAGGGGTCCAGAATATAGAACCCAAAAGAATGTCATAGAAATCAATAGACTACACGTCTTCCCTTCCATTACGTAAAATTCTGAATTTGAAATTTATTTAATTGTTAATTATAAATTACTTTACCCAAAAAAAAAACTTGGAGAATTAGTGATAACGGTTAAATATTCCTCTTCACCGAATGAAAACTTGAAAAAATCAAGACCCAACTTTTTAAAAATTGAGGATATCCATTACAGATATACACTTTTTAATCGTAATTTATTGTTTAATGTTTCTACATATTTTTATTCACTGTATCAAAGAAAACTATTAGAGATGTTACCGAAGTTTATTCAATTTCCTATATGTAATTTGATTAATTCTTTGCCGATCCACTAATAACGAGGAGAAATAATTTATAAGAGTGAGATTATATTGAAATTTCTGTTCGATTTCTCATATCCAAAAAAAAAACAATACATGAAAAAGTATTAAAGAACTCAGCCTATTAATATCCTAAAATTTTGTGTGTACATATATATACACACTGTTGTCATTTCAGAATATAATAATGTATTTAATCCGCAGGCGTTTATTAAATTTTGGAAATAAAATCGGCTCTGGCAAAAATCCCGAGGATTTTATGAACAGTAAGCGACTGGACACTTCAATATCCTCAACCTCGTACCAACACTGTTCCGTGTCTCTCTCTTTGCACGTATAATCATTACATATGGAGAGCGAGGTGTATTTTTACAAAGCTGTATCTCCCGATGAAAATACATTTATACGTATTTACGTAATTGAGATTAAGTTTATAAATTTTATGGTTAGAAACCCTAGAGGTTACGTGCTTTGATCCAAGAATTTGGATTTGACGTTTCTGATTCGTGTTCTTTGAAGAAATAAAGAATTACTTTCAGCCGATAAATTCAAGCTCATGCGCGTGCAGCTAACGCACCCTTCACTGTCTTTTTTTTTTCTTCTCCCTTAAGTGTTTATATTTAATAATTATAGATATCGAGTTTATGTATAATCGAAACATTATATTATTTAGAGTTTATATTTTTAATGCCTCATAACTGCTTATGGCTTTTAATGTTTTTATAATAAGGTCTGAAATCTTATATTATCGTTGCTATTTCCTTTTCTTAATTACCTTTTTTTAACATGGTAAAGTCCTGGTCAACTTGGAACTTTTGGCTCCCCACCTGAGCAAATCCAATAACCTATTGTTTATTGGATATCACAATTTTCAACTGCATAAATATATATCTGTAAGACTTCTATATATATATAATCAAATTATAAAATGATAATTTTTTTCGTTGTTAATTGATGATAGAATCTAATTTTAACACAATAATTCAGACCCGATACAATAAGATATAAATTCTATATATATAAATATAAACTTTGTATAGTTTTTTTGGTAAAAAACTTTGTATAGTTCTCCGTATGTACACAATAATTTCCTTATAATATAAGATACACAATATGATATTGGTTTAATATAATAATCATCATCTCAATTAAATCAATCATCACCGAGTTAATTGCATTTCAACGCAGAATTTTATATATAATGGAATGCGGCAATAGAATATTAATTATAATGCAATCAGTTTTGCTATATATACCAAAAAAGGGAATTGCTGTTGATGTGGTTACAGAATCAGGGTTTTGTTGAATTATATTTAACAGCTTCACCATTGTTAATATATTGTTATTGGATAATATATCACGATCTATTAAATTAATATCACGGGATTTTCTAGATATAATATACATATACGTGTGCATAAATATGGTCACCTGGTTAGATATATATTGGAGAGGAGCTTTGGCTTTTTAATAATTTAAAAATAAGTCACTACATAAAGTATGTTACCATTGACATATATATATAATCAATTTATGTATTTGTTTTGGTCAGAAAAAAATATGTATCTAAACTCTATTGGATAAGGACGCATAAGCCACAAACATCCTTATAATATATATATGTGTGTGTGTGTGTGTGTATGTATGGCTTCATCAGAACAACCCTATTGTCGTTCCAAAAGGCGTCACGACTCATGCCCATCAAAGTCGGCCTTCAATTAATTTCAGAGGTTACACCGGCGATCAATTATTTCCAAATGGTCATTTAATTACGATAATATATATATATATATATATATATATCCATTGAATATATATATCTTCGGATAGCTAAATTAATCTCTTGCAACATTTAAGTGTCCATTGAATATCAAAGAATATATGTTGCTTACTTAGAGATTGACGGACTATATAAGAACTGAAAAAAAATAGCATATGCATATACCATCTTTATCTTTAAACATTCCGTAGTGAAATATATTTGTAAAATAAAATAAATTAGGTTACGTAGTGAAAATATCTGACATTATTAACTCAAAATCTTCCAAAAACTGTTTCTCATGATCAGGACAAGTCCCGAAAGGCCGTCAACGATTTGTAAATATTTCTTTTTACTACATTATAATACTCGTAACATAGGATATATATATATTTTTTAACATTCTGAAAAAGAGGCCTTTTGATTTTATATATTATATGTTGTAACGTGGAAAAATACGAACTTGTTAAAAAGAATTACGAAATTCCTCACGTGGAATGTGCTATTGATGATGGCCAAAGATTGGAACAGAATAAATAAACGAGGGCACAAGTTTGTTATGGTAATCATTGTGCATTTATCAATTATTGAATAACATTCATTTTTTTTATATTTAGACTATAAAAATATTGTATAGCCGATCCACTATATATAGATATTTAGTTATTAATTATTCTACCAATTCAAACAAAATAGTAGTAAACCAAAATTCTACTGATTCATCATGGTACGGACAAAATTACATAAATCGTATGAGTTTTGGATTCTTGATTTGCAGGAATTTGAAAATAAAATTATTATAAATGATAAATTAATTAATCTATTCTTTTACCCAAAAATTCGCGAGAAAAAGATTCGATCAAATGACTAGTAATTGAATTGAATGGAAAATATTAAATATAGGTCTTGAAGCTTTCGCCATGGGATTACCATAGATCCATAACCATTTCCGGGATTGCAAAATCAAATTTAATATTAACATGGATATAAATATACATACAAATATTATCATTTAAATAAAAAATATTACAAACTCTAATCAAATATCTATCGAAACAATATAGAATTTTCTATAATAATATTCAAGAAATATATAAATTAAAAAAGGGAACGAGATTATGAATGGGTGAGTATGATTAGAGACAACTAATCTCCAACCAAAGACGGTCAAAGCAAAAGCACCAGTGCATCACCGGGAAGAAGAACCCTTGAAAGGTTGCAGACAGCCGTGGACCCCACGCGCCGCATCACTCTCTCTCATGGTTAACTTAACCCGATTGATTGGTCAACTTTTCAACCGAACCATGGTTAGATCACCGTTCCTTCAGAGAGCCAGAACTAAAATCCACCAAACCCTAATTGTTATTTATAGACTGATCGATTATTCAATATCCCTGTAACACATTTCTTAAACGTCGTTTCATCCTACGTAAACTATTCAAACTATATGGTTTATGATCCACAGATTTGATATAATTATTGTCATGGGGCTTAATTTTTTTTTGTTAATTTAGAAAATAAATAATAACACAGGGCATATGATGGTGGAGAATGAATAAAAACTGGGAGCATCTTATTGCAACCCACAAGATCTCCCCAACCACATAGTATGATGATTGGTGGATCCAAACATGTTAGGGTTTCATTATTTCTCAAAATCTTAATTTATGTCTCAGATGCGTCACGTCCACTCACATCACACACTTCCGTTCTTCCCACGCGCCCATTCGGCGCGTGTGAACCGAATTCTTTGTTTTTTCTTGGTTCCGATATATACATGTTTGAGTATACAAGAGACCAGTAATAACCATATCAACATATGCAATAAAATAATGTTATAACAAAATTCATTGATCAACATCAAACTAGTTTCCCATATTGCTATATTTTTTTTAAAAAAAATCACACAGCATTTCATATTATCTTTTAAAATAAATAAATAAAACAGATGCCTTGCAACTTGCAAGTTTTATTAGTACAACTTTTGGTTTTGCAAAAGAAATCGTATATTATACTGTACGATGTCATAAAAGGATAAGGAGGCATAAGTCGCGTGATTTACACGCTCTTGGAAAAGAGAGTGGACTTCTGCATAATGTAAAAATGAGAACTCCAGGGCAGCAACATCGAATTTATATATTGATGGATGGCTGACTGCATATATGTATATGTGTATATACACATATTTCTTCTTTAATGGAATTTTGTCTCTCCTCCTCTCTTCCATCCTCTCTTCTCTATTTATCTCTCTTTCTCCCATTTTTAAAAGGGAAGGGGATTATACAAACCCTATAAAGAAAAGCGTTTAAATTATTCAAAATCTTTAAAATTTGTGGGTGCGGTTTTCCTTATATAATTTTTAATTTTTCATCACCCTGTTTGTGTTTGATGTGTGGGCATGGCAGGTCTTGATCTAGGCACTGCTTTTCGCTATGTGAACCATCAACAACTCCTTCGCCCCGATCTCCACCTTCAACACCACCAATCCTCCTCCGAAGATGCCGGAGCCGCCAACTTTTCCGGCGACAACCAACACGGCGGAGGCGGAGCCTCTCACCATCACCAGGGCAGCAACATCGATCTCGTCTCCGCCGACACCAGCTCCGGAGGAGGCGGAGGCGGAGACGCGGTGGGCCGGCGGCCACGTGGCAGGCCTCCTGGCTCGAAGAACAAGGCGAAGCCGCCGGTGATAATTACGCGGGAGAGCGCCAACACTCTGAGGGCTCACATTCTCGAAGTCAACAACGGCTGTGACGTCTTCGACTGCGTCGCCACCTACGCGCGGCGGCGGCAGCGCGGCATCTGCGTCCTGAGCGGCAGCGGCTCAGTCACCAACGTCACCATCCGTCAGCCCTCCGCCTCCGGAGCCGCCGTCACCCTCCAAGGGACCTTCGAGATCCTCTCTCTCTCGGGCTCGTTTCTTCCTCCGCCTGCGCCGCCGGGAGCCACCAGCTTGACCATATTCCTAGCCGGAGGTCAAGGTCAGGTTGTCGGCGGCAGCGTGGTAGGCGAGCTCACAGCCGCGGGGCCGGTGATTGTCATGGCAGCCTCCTTCACTAATGTCGCCTACGAGAGGCTTCCACTGGAAGAGGACGAGGGCCTAGGCGGCGGCGGCGGCGGAGGAGAGGCTGCCAACGGCGGAGGTAATGTGTTCCCAGACGGCGGTGGTCTTCCGTTCTATAATTTTTCGATGAATATGGCACCGAACCTGCAACTTCCGGTGGAGGGTTGGCCCGGGAATACCGGAGGTAGAGGTCCGCCGTTCTGATTATATGTATGTCGTATGTGTCTGTGTGCGTGTATACATAACACGGTGGAGGAGGAGCAATTCTCCGGTGGTCGGAAATGTGACAAGTTTGTTGAAGAGGAAAAGGATAAAAAAAGGTTAGACATCATCTTGTTCTTGTTCTTTCTTTTTAGTGCGTGTTAATTAGTCTTTAGGGTTTCTTTGTAGAATTGTCTCAATTTTCCTTTCTTCTTCTTCTGATGGATCATCTTTTGGATTATGTGAACTCTTGTGTGAAGATAGTCGCTTCATGGTACATGTTGATTCACGGTGAAATCAATTCTTATATCCATTGATTACCCTTGGATTCTGGCTTAATAATCAGATTAATTAATGGATAAAACAATCGAGTATAAATAAAACGATTTGATCATTTCGTTTATTGATTATATTCTTTAATTAATTGGATATATATATATATATATATATGTATCTCCACATGTGTTTGCGTGTGTATATATGTTTTGATTCAATTGTCTGATCCCTTGGTCTAATACAATAATTAAGGGGTTTGTTTTCTGATCAATTCGATTTTTTTTTTTGGTGAAATAACAGAATTATGATATTAGGGTTTTCTTGAATAGCTTTCTGGGAAGAATGAGAGTGGAGAGTATATTTAACACATTTTCAATGCGATTTTGTATTCAGATCCTTCCTGTTGCATGTGGCTTTCCGTACATTGTGTGTGTGTGCACTCACACACACATGTATAGTGTCTATTTGTCGGCATGGAATCATGAACTATAGCATTTTGTTCTCTGTCTGATGTGTAGATGCATATATGTATGTATGTATATATGTGCATGCAGCTATGTATGTATTCCATCTAATCTTTTATCTGTTTGATCAAGTTATATCCATCATCATTGTATGCGTATACATGTGTGTGCTGAGTAAGTTTTGTTCATCTGCATATTGATAAGTTTTGTTCACTTCTCCAAATTTTCTTGGAGCGATAATTAGCCACATACATATATATGTATATGTATGTTTTAGGTCTCAGGCGCACCATACATCTAGTTTGTAGCTATATATATGTGTATGTATATTTTTCTATATATATATATATCAACGTCGATAGGATGGTATAATATTTTAGTTTTCTTGCCCTACTAGCTGCAACATAATAAGAAGAGTATAATAGAACATTGGTCTTTAATTTGAAACAAACGAACAAATTAGGATAGTGTTCATTCATAATGGAAGATGAAGATTTGGTATCACTTTATTAGTTAAAGCTATATATGATGATGTGTGGAATTATCATATATATATATATATATATATATATATATATGATAATTCTAATGTTTTACGTAAGTTTGCATTAATATCTATATATTATATAACATGTACTCACTCAGATAAACAAAAGTACTCTTGTGGTTATCTACAACTGCAAGAGAATTTCTTTTTGATTATATAAATTAGAGTTTTTTGTTTGGGAAAAAAAAATACTCTTTGGGAAAGTTCCTTTCTTCTTCTTCTTATATATTCTTCTTCTTCTTCTTCTTCTTCTTCTTATTATTATTATTATTATTATTGTTATTATTATTATCACTATTATTATCACTATTATTATTATTATTTCATTAATACTCCTAGAAATAGTAGAGTTTTTAAGTTGTAGATGGCGCTGTATAATAGACAAAAGGTTAAAAAAACGTACGTACATACATATTATTATACAGATAACATAACTCGGAGGTATCTAAAAAAATATTAATACTAATTTCCTTAATGTATGACATAATAATCATCATGTACATTAGAAAATAAATAAAAACAAAAAATCTTCCCGTTGACAAAAAGATATCGCATTTTGTATCTATATATATTACGAAACATTAAGCTATTTTGAATCTGATTTTGAGGTCACGCCTAATGACTTTTGATTAGATAACCATGAGCGATTGATTTATTCACGACCAAAAATTAATAAAATATATGTAATATTTTATTCATTTGGAGTTCATTTATTTTAGCGAGATTAGATTGCGGATGTCATTAAGTATGACAGAAAACGACAACCCGTCCTCTTTCGTAAAATATTTTTTATAATGGCCTAACAGACTATGTCATATATATACCTTACGTTATACACACACACACGCACATATAGTTAGGTTGACAAAAAAAGTATTGGCGATATGTTAGATGGGCTTTGGTTCGGCCCAATATTAGATGGGCTTGATCGGGCCCAATATTAGATGGGCTTGATCCGGTCCTTGTTGGCCCATCTCCAATCCAGTTTGTCACACACCTTCGTGGAAGAAAACCACAACTTTTTTACTGTGTTGACTATTTGTTTCGCCATTGTCATATTATTAATATCATAATATGACTAATCTTTTTATCCGTTTTTCATATAGTTTTTGTACTAAATTTTGTTATGGTTATATATAATAAACATTCAGTTATGCATTGTCAACTAGATGAATAGAAAGTCGCTACGTGTTTGGTTTTAATTTGACAATGTGAAACAAGCTTAGATGTTGACCCTTTATAATTATATATAAATATGGACCATTTAATTAATTCTTTAGAGAAATTAACCAGTCCAAAGATTATACTATAAGGTACCTTTTAGAATCCGGATACGGGATACCATTAATTTGTATACACAGCTGTACAATTTTTTTTAAAAAAAAAAATCGGTCGAGTACTCAAAATATAGTTCATAAATATAATTTAATTAAAATCCCTGCATTCAGCTTTAGGAAATTTCGTTTGATGCATCTTTATTTCACATTCTTGTGAATTCATCAAGATTCATTATACGTACACAAGATTTTCGAAAGTCCAATGCAATAATATTATATCATAATTATTACAATAACTTGCACTAAATAGTAAATACCGTCTTAATTTTTAAAACCTTCTAGATTAGACTGTCGCCGAGAATTAAGTAACATTACTCGGTTAATGTGCTTCTTACGTTATCCTCCACCAAATCGATAATGGTAGAAAAGATCAATGACATGCATGCATACATACATACATACATACATACATACATACATACATACATACATACATACATACATACATACATACATACATACATACATACATACATACATACATTATACATACATACATACATATCAGGGAGAATTTATAGTCATAGTTTGAATTCAAAATGAAAAAGATAAAAAAAATAACGAAAATGAAAAAAAAAAAGAAACGAAGAAGAGTTGCTTTGATCAACCATGAGACAATCAATGAAGCAGGTGGAGATTGCATTGAAATGTGGCACAAGCAAACCATGCCCTGATAAATACAATCTGACAATTTTGATGAAGATTGCAATGAGAACATCATTTCGCATATAATTCTAATAAAAATATTATTCGATAATCTATGCATATTTCCGGACCCAATAAAAAGTGTATATATATTTTTTAACTGTCTATTAACGTGTTTTTCCACATATAATATCAACTAATTAAACCATATGACAAAGCAACATATTCACTGAAAACGTTACCAAATCATAGGATATACATTTATATGTATGTTTGTATGTATATGTATATATAGCATTTAAATCATAAACTTTGAACACGATCGCCATGACAACATATAGTTGTAGAAATTTGCGGAATGATTTCTTTATTCATAATCAGAATAACATATAAATATATGAGAGTCTTACATGGAATAAATAAACTAAATAAAATAATAAATATTTCTAAATATATATTTTTCGGATTTAATAAGATTGATATATCTCGTAATATTCTTCAAGATCCGGTATATCTCAACATCCCCCTTCAAGTTGGAGCGTGGAAGATCATGAAACGCCCAACTTGCTGAAAAGATGATCAAACGCATGCTGCTTGAACCACATCACCTTGCAAATTTGTGTCAATCATAACTAAAAAAAAAATCAAACAAACGACTGCGCTGCAACTTTGGCACCACGCACAAAAGAATCGTTTGATGATAACAAAAAAAGGGACGACAATCGCGGTGCAGAAAGAAGTCTCGAGAATAACTCTGATTCATCCGAGATTGAAAGGCAACTACGCGAAAACGTTTAATGACAACAAAGTTTTTGGCAAGAATAAGATGATTGGCGGTTAAGCGAATAATCTTTAGAAACATGTGGGATTATGAGAGAAAATAAATAAAAATAAAAATAAAATGACTCTCTTATTCTTAAAAAAATTCGAAATGATATTACCACTAGATCGGTATATCAGCATCTTCATCTTCACTCTCATTATCGATCATCATTTTTATGAAAAGAACAACAAATTAGAAAAGAACCAGAGGCTCTGATACCATGTAGAAATTTGCGGAATAATTTTCAATGGACTCTATGTAGAAAAATAAAATGCGGAAATAAAATAAGACAAATAGAAAGAAACGAAATTACTTTTATTGCTACATCTCTTCTTCTTCTGGTTACATTATAATGAAAATGAACTACATATTTATAGGAAAATTAAGAAATAGAGTAAAAAGGAAATATAGACACAATGGAAACAAATCAGATACACAATATTTGGTATAATGATATTGTATCCATTATTATTCTCCATCATATCTCTAATCTTATTTTACTCCAATCATATATTCATTTTCCAACTTTAACTATAGTTACCTAATCTTGATCTTGGCACCACTCTATATCCCCGATTTGGTTCTCCCTAATTCTTCTAATTTTCTATATAATATTTCGAACATATGCGTGCCAACGTTGTCTTCTTTGTCCATCTATATATATATATAATATGAGCCCGCGACGTGATCAAATACTAACAAAGATATAATTCTTCAAAAAACACAAACCAAAACCCACCACTCGACAAAAACATCAAACACCCACTTCGAAACCTCCTACTTCATTAATTTCCGATTTCTTAGGGTTAAATTAATTTATCGGAAAAAAAAAGATCGCATAAAAACATGGTACGGTCACCGTGTTGCGATGAAGAGAAAGGGGTGAAGAAAGGGCCGTGGACGGAGGAGGAAGACGAGAAGCTGAGGGGATATATAAGAGAGAAGGGCTTCGGGAATTGGAGGTCGCTGCCGAAGCTCGCCGGACTGAACCG